GTTGCAGAATTGAATTCACAACTTGTTTCCTCTTCTGACTTGATTAATTAGCATGTTAACATAACTACTATTCCTTCTTCTAATAGATTCTCTCTAATGTGTTATCCCAAAAAATAAAAAATGGGCAAAAGATGCCAAAATCTTCACAGGGGTAGGCAAGCTTTTCTGGAAGCTCACACTGACAGTCTGGTCTTCTGATATCCACATGGATCGCATGGCAAATCTGATCACACAGGCTGTGACCCTTGTAATCGGTCCTTCAAGGGCTTGGCCTTTTCCAGCTGGAGTGCTAAAAATTACATTTAAAACACACATATTGGCTGTTTGGAGTCCCTTTTGTCTTTCGTACACCGTTTCAGACATATTGTATTACACGATGATGAATTTCCTCCTCGTTCTGTTTTTTCACACCTTGCACAACCATATTAAGTCACAAGCCATACCCAAGGCTTAGAGACGGAATTATTTAGAATACCTCTGAATCTGGAAATAATTCTTCTGTCTGGCGAAAACAGTTCCCAATGTTAACCACAAGTCATAGGCTAGTCTCATCCATTAGCACTTCCATTTTCTTAATGCACATACTGTCGCCTGCCTGCACTCTCCGCTGCGCAGACCTCAAAAAATTAGATGTCTCCTGTAAGTGGTGTGCGAGTCACATGCTTGCTGCTGCACAATGATTAATAGTGCTGTCCCAGCAAATGGGATCATTACATTTTTAATTAACCTTTCCAACCTCCTCCACCTTTTCCTTTTGTTATACATTGGATCTCTGAAGTTTTTTACTTGTTTATGTTAAACTAGGTTTGAAACAAAGGCATGAAAAATGACCACAGGTGAGGCAGGAGTCGATGCTTCAGGTGAGATGCCTGGTAAGGTGCAGTGTCTCACTGTACATCAGACGTGGGGACAGGCGCTTAGAACTAGGTGGCTGTGTTCCCACCTAATTTTTGCTTTGGCAGCTTAGCGTTATTTAATGGCCTTGGCTACCAGGAAACTGGCTTTTTAAAATCTCTTTCAACCTAATTATAATTACGGTGTATAAATCACACAATGATCAATTATAAAAATCTCGGGTTCATAAATATTTAACTTAGCATTTAAATCCACACTGCAGGAGTGCATGAAATTTCTGAGCCCATCTCTTTGCAAACAACTGCTTTATTACAGTTCCATTGCCAATTACTGAACACTGAACCAAGTTTTTCTTGCAGCACACTTGGGCACATATTTGAGCATAATGCCCCTCGCTGTACTAAGATGGCACAATTTAGCTATTTCTAAAATATGCATGCCTCCCATTAAAAAGATATTTTGCAAAAACTTCTATCACCATCTTTTAATTTCTCAAGTATGGAGAGGCACAATTAAAATATTAGACATAAAAACACTCATTAAATATATTTTATCTAATGTAGGATTGATTCTGAGATAATTGAGGTCAGATTTGTTTGGAAAATGTATTGTGACATGTGCAAATGGTGATGCAAAAAGGAAATGATCTTCTAGAAAGACTCAAGCACAACAGCTAAATATTTTTCAGCAAAATCATAAAACCATAATTGGATTTCAATTTAGTAATAGTCAGCCTAAGACAGGCCATTTTTAATAATCTAATTATGTGTGCGGGGCCTACCCCAGAATTCAACGATGGCTACAGAACTATTAATTGTACTCAATCCTGCTGTATCTTCAACCATGAAATTTGCTATTACATGTAGGACTGGCTCTCAGTTATGGATATTTTTTTTTTCCAATCTCAGATCACCTTTATAACATCCAAAAAAGCCTACTCCTTTAATTTTTGAAAAGTGAAATCTTTTAATGACTTTCTCTGGATCAGAAAAATAGCTCAGATTTGTGGTCCTTCTGCAGACAAAATTCACAATGAGATCTACAAACATTTTCCCTATTTTTATGAAGACACAGAGAGAAGCCCTTGCTTTTGTCTGATTTTCATTAATTAAAGGTATTTAATTGCTAACATCTCATTAGCAGTAAAATTAATGAGTGCTTCAACTACAGGAAAGATCTGCATGATAATATAAACCTAATTCATTTTGTGGGGTACAAACTGTAGCTTCACTAATATTTAGCCTGCACAAGCTCCACTGATATTTAGCTATTTCAACAGTAAAAGGCTAAACATGTCTTCAAAACCAATCCTGCTTCTCCCCAGAGAAAACAAATGTGAACCAGCTGAGCAACAAAGAACCCAAGCCCACCCCACCCCCCACTTTCCACCAACATATTGGCAAAGAGAGGACTAATTGGAAGAGAAATATGGAACAGTTTGTTTTTAATAATTTTCTAAGTTACTATTAAATGAAAAGGTATCCTAAAAATAATGAGTCTGCACATTTAAATTAGCATACCCACATTTCAGATTATTAAGAGTGTGCCATTCTGGGAAGCCAGACAACACTTGTCATAAGGAGGCTGCCAGTGCTCAGGACATTTCATGGACCTCTTTCCTGGGAGCCAGAGGCATGTTCTTTGGACTATCCTGAGCAACACTGAGTGCCAGCATTGAGGATGGATCTTACAAGCCAAATGTCATTTAGCACAAAGTGTGATGGATAAAGGAGGTCATGATGTTGGCCAATGCTTAGGAAGAGAAAATAAGGAATGAAGCTATGTAAGGATATTTTCATATGGATGTCTTATAAGTCAGCTCTGAAAATAATCACTAAAGTGACTTTCCCAAAATGGTATTGAGCCAAAGACAGTCCAGGAATAAGTATTTCGCTTCCCAAGATGACTACTTTGAAGAAGAACATTCATTTGGGTGTGCATGTTCTTGGTAGGCTTGTTATCCGTAGTCACACTGTACATTCACTGTGTTCCTCCAGTCAGCTAGAGCAAACTGATACCACCAGAAGGCAGGCTACAGGTCTGAATGCCACTTCCACTACACAATCTACAAAAGTTGTTCTGGCCTCTGATATACCTAGAGAGAAGAAAAAGTATGCATTCTAAAGCCAAAGAATCAACTGAAACAATGAAAAATGAAGAGGTTGAAGATCCTATTAAGTAGCCTAGATGATGCTGAGATAATAATGAATCATTGATGATGTCGGTGGTTGACAGGGCCCTCTCACAGTGCGGATTTCAGCAAAGATAAGCTAAATATCAGGTCTTTATTTTTAGTTAAAGAGCATAAAATTCAATGCCTCTCCTCCCACGAGCCTATTTACATACCTGCTGTGCTACCTATTTGCCTTCACCTGCTTTCCAATTAATACCCCATTAAGCCGCTCCACCTGCGGTGGCTTTTACCTTCAGCACAGCCCTGCAAACATCACTCATGGGCTACAGCTCAATTGTTTCTTCTGGAAAGATAAACAAAAGCTGCATGAATAATAATGGCGGTGCTTTGCATTTACAGGGTTTTTAAAAGACAGTAACCAGAAGCCTGGCCAGTTTTGAGGAAGGAAGTCTAGAGCAAGTAAAGTGGCCGTGCTCCAGAGGACTGGAGGAAAAGGAATGTCCAGCTTAGTTAGTCAGATGTGTCAATTCTGAACTGTATGTGTATATTTTAATGACATTTTGCTTCATTCAAGGTGTTACCTGTCCAGCTGGGTTAATTAAATTTTGCTTGGCGAAGGGCTTTTAGGTCCCCTGTTTTATTGAAGGTTAGTACACTATTTCTCATTTATGTAAACAGATTTTAAGGATTCCAAAAGTTGGCTTCTTTAAACAGTGACCAAACCTGGCCAACTTGTGAGAACCTGTATTTTGACATAGCTCCCAGGTATTTCCAATGATCTGTCTTGAAATCTGCTTATATGCAATAGGTTAAACCTTTCTTTTTAACTACCCACCTGGACTCCTACTTATTTTCCTAGCAAATCCTGGCTTTCTAGTTAATTTTCAGGAATTTGATCCTTCAGAGTTGCTTCTTAGTTGATAGGTTATTCAGTCCTCATTCCACGAAGATCTTGTTGATGAAGGGTATTCTTTGTCCATGTTTCAAGTGTAACTTCATAATTAAGCCTAGACTAGATTTACCAGGTGGCCCTACTCCCTAGGTGGGTTAAGACAAAGCAAGAGAATAGGACCCCTCACCTACCTCACACCAACTCCCACCCCCACGGCCTCCCATGAACTTCAGAGGAAGCAGACAGCAGAACCAGCAACCCATCTGCATGCCTCTTGTGAGCCTTTGTGTTTTATTTTAATGGAGTGTTGGCAAGTCTCCCTGCTCATTTTGTTTTGAGCTTTAAATTGGTTCCAAGTGCATTCACACATTTACTCTTCTGAGCCCCGGTGTAACTCTTCTTAGATCCCCATTGGAAGGACTACACCAGTTAGCTCAAGGATTAAGTTTATACCTTGGAATTTTCACATTAAAATTTCTTAGTCAGGACCTCCACGGTGTCTCTGTAACTTAATCTTCTGCTCTGTCTCCCACAGGAGATTGCAGAGTAAGCACAGCTATAACCCTATGGTGTTGGGCACCAAGCCACTTCTCCATGGGAGGCGCTCTTCCACTTGGCTCCTCTCCACCGTATGCTATGGAGAGTTTGTTGAGGCAGGTGGAGGCAGGTGAGTGACCCAGCACTTTCAGGCTGCTTCTAGAACATGGCTTTGCTCAGCTTCTCACGCAAGTAGGCCAGTAATGGGGCTGTTGTGTCCCTGATTACACGGGCACCACATAAATTAAAAAGCCAGAGACAACTGAGAACAGTCTCAACCTCCAGAACTTGATATTTTCGCCTATTTGCTCAGTAAAAAGCAGGTATATAGTTTAGGCAAAGTGCATGTGTTCTATCAAAAATTCCTTCAGGCTTCAAAGTGTGCCTTTTCTAATAGAGATTTGGACTTGCGCACTAGCTAGTTTTTGTAACAAATGCTTGCTTGAATAGTTACATTTAAGCCTGGGTGAGGCTGAAGCTGAATGCAAGTGTTAGGATCAAGATGATTTCATCAGCTTTATGCCTGGAGAGATCAGAATGACATTCAGCACAAGTGCCTGGGTTCAGGCCAGCTGCTAATACTGCGTGCAGCACCCCAGGACATGCCACAGGGACAGGGTCGCCCTTCGGCGAGGGCATTCAGGGACGAGAGGAATGAGGCCAGCTGGCCGCGGAATGGCCAGTCATGCTGCCCTGCACTGGAGAAGGGATGACGGGCTGAGAGCAGCAGTAGATTCCTGCCCTGTAGGAAGATGGCCTGGATCCCTGCCCCTACACTAATGGATGAGGCTCTGTATTGCAGGAAATCCTGTTTTAAGACAAAGAAGGAATCACAAGAAGTCAGATCTCTGTGACTCAGCAATTCTTACCATGATATTGAAAAACATAGGTATTAATTAGCCCTTTATCCTTTGGCCCTAAAAAATGAATAAGGAACAGCTCCTGAGAGTTTCTCCTGGAGTGTCTAGTGCTGCCTCCATTACCAGGAAAGATTGGAAAATTTCCTCCCTGTGGCATTTGCTAACGAAATGACTCAAGAGAACTGAGAAAGTTCCCAAGGCATGAAATATGGTAGAATACATTCCTAAAGTAGGCACTTGAAGGTGGAGGTGGGGACTGGTTTGACTCAGGAAGAAAATCAGCATTTCCAAGGACCTCAATGTGCCTTTGAAGAAGTTCCTGAATTAAAAAAAAAAAAGGAAGTCCAGTGGCTTTTTGGTGGGGAACAAGGCTTTCTCAAAGTTTCTATTTGATCTATTGTGTGAAACAAGTCATCTTCAATGCCATATTTAAAATGTATTAGTTTTGCCGGGCTCTGTGGCTCGGCCTGTAATCCCGCGCCTTTGGGAGGCCGAGGGGAGTGGATTGGCCTGAGCCCGTGGGTTCGAGACCTGCCTGGGCAACTTGGCGAGATCTCAT